TTGTATATGGAATGCAACCACTAGCAAATGGGTATACAATAACGGATGTAAGATTCAAATCTAGGCTCGTAAATGGAATGGTTGTATGCGTAGAATTATAAGAAAAAAATAAGTAGAGAATCCCGCCCTTAAATACGAAAATCTATATTACCATTCTGTAGACCTTCAATGCATGAAATTATATATTAAATGGCTGTATAAATAGTATGTTTAATTCCTGTAATAATGTTAAAAACTTTGATTTTGGTAATGATCCTGTACAGTCATTATATAATGATTGTAAAAAATATTATAAAATGTATATTTTATATACAACTGAAACATAGAAATGTAGAACTGTTCTTTTACTCTGCGGGATATTTATAATAATACATTTAAAAGAAATGATAATCACAAATTAATACTCTTATTGTTTTTTCATTACGTTATATATTATGTGTTGTATTATTTTTATAACATTTTTTATTAAACGTATGGTTTAAATCTAAGATGAGAGTTACTACAACTATAATTAATCCCTTCACACGTCACACATGTAATTTAAGAAACATTTTAGCAAATATACATTTTATGAATAAGTTAACAAAGTGTTTAATTTTTAATTTTAGAAAAAACAGTAATGAGTTGATGTTTTTAACAATTAATGGACCACTTAATTCCTTGTAATATTTTACAGATAAGTATAATCATTGGTTACTACTTTGGTATTAGTTCACACATAGCATTTAATATTTTTGATAATGAAAAAAATGTGTTAGTAATTATAAAGTTAAATTATAATTATACAAATCTACACCTACTACACCTAATTAATTTAGCTTATCAATTATACATATTTTTCAAAATTATACAAATGTCCAACATTCAACATTTCAGCGTTTGTATATTATTATAATATAATTGAATTCAATTAAGAATGTTTTTATTCATATTGATTATATATAATATAATATACATATTATATTATACTTTATAAAATCAGGAAAATTTTTAAAACTTGAAATTTTAATTTGAATATACATAACAAGGCCAATTTCCAATTAAATGTTATATGAATATTTTTTAAATATAAACTGTTCCATAAAAATAATAAAACATTATTATAGTTATTTGAACAAATTAAAACAACAAAATTGAGTTAAATTGAATATTACTATTATTGTTCTGTATAAAAAGTAGAACCAAAAAAAAAAAAAACAAATTAAGCCGTTTAAAAATTGTAATATATAATACTTTAAAAATCGTTGGGTTTGAAACTCTTACACCTTCCATATTTCATCTCATAAATCATTTATATGATTTAGTATACTATACTATTTTCTACTTGAACTTAAATATTATAATACACATTTAATTTGAGTACATTAAGTACAATATAAAATTTTAATTAATTTTACCACAGTAACTATATTTTTATAATTAAAGAGTTAATATATTGGTTATAATATTAAATTGATTATAAAATCAGAAAAATGTTTGACGGATTTCGCTGAAGTACAAAAAAAATATTTATTGGTGGTTTTTATACTTCTTTGGTACCAAATTATGTGGTATCTTTAAAAAATGGCGATTGGGAGTAATAAGGCGACAACCGTCGTAAAAAGAAAAAAAATATTTGAAAAAATAACGATCCCCAAGAAATTGGTCTCGAAACAATTCATTAATCTTAACTGGGATAACATCCCTCCCGTTGAGAGTTGGCAGTCAATTTAAAAAAGAGCGCCCTATTTTAGTATCGGCAGTGATATAATACTTTTAAATTGGCCATGTTCGTTTTACGTGGGGTGGGCTATACCGAAAGAATTGAAAATATTCATTTTGAACACCATGTGTTTGGGATGCTAGAGAACTATTACTTATGTTATGAGTTTTACAAAATAAATTGATAAATCGTCCTTTTTTAATACATAATAATACTAAAAATATATTTTAACAATATTTGTTATTGAAAATAAATGGTAAATTCTATACATTAACGGTATCCACTAAGGTGTTCAGGAAAGGGCAGATATATTTATTTTTTAAATTACTTAAAAAATAAATATATTAAATATAATATATAATCTTAACTAGTAACTTCTTATTATTCACAGATTTTAAATATAAACTATAATATAAAATATTGGATACTTCAATATTGAATAATAAATAAAAATATAGAATTGAAAAGTATTAATCAATATAATAAAATATTATATATAACAAAAAAATAAATATTGCTTAATGGAAATTATAAATATTTGTTGTATATTTTTTTATCGTATGATTTCTTTTATTTTTCAGGTAAACAAGTGTTTTAATTGTTTCAGACAACTAATTATACACAATTACATACTGTATGTAATATCTTAATATTATAAAATATTTGAGTAAATATTATAGAAACAAAGATATAGTAATTTATTTGTTTTACAGTGGTGTTCTTTTAATAAACAATTACACAAGCAGTGTCAAATTGCTAAGGTTTAAGTACAAAATAAGACATAAAATGAACTTCAGACTATAAATAGATTTATACATTGGTAACTTCATTAATGTCGGTGGATTGAAAATTATCCACCGAAAAATATATCGACATCAAAATAGTTCTTATCTAGATATTTTAGTTAATACTCATGAAACATGTCTCATACTTAGTTCAATACATAATTATTACATTATTATTAGACATTATTACAGACAATCGGATCATTCTTGCAGTACTAACATTTTAAATTTTGAGCCAACTGGGCATTAGGTATTACATCATAATAACTAGGGCTAGGGATTTCATACCCTTAAAAAAAATTAAAATATGCATGTATTAATGCCCTAAATAATTAATAAATATGCTATTAAAATATGCATTTAAAAAAATTATATTTGTAATAATTAATTAAATAAAAAAATTAGTAATAAATAATAATAATATTTTTAATATGATAGATATTGTTTAGGCCCAAATACAGATTGATACAGATATATTTCTATTTTTGTAATTTTGTATTCAATTTGTACCATCAATACATACAATTATACAAATACGCCATTTTTAGATTTATTTCATTTTAGTTACCATTTTTCTTGTCTCATAGTTTTTAAGTACCTACACAATACACACAAATACATACATACACACTTGACACTATATTATTGTTGAATTGTTGGTGAAATGCGAAATTTTTCTCGATGAACAGTATGTTGAACTGGTAATTACAAAATACTACGTTATGTCCAAATCTTTATGTTTACTAATTAAGCCACCTCCACAGCCGTCTCCGTAAAGTCCCATTGTCATAGTAATTCGTCACCGAATTTGATCCATCTCACATTAAATCAAATCAAATTCAATATATTTTCAAATTCCCTTAATTTTTCATATATTCCGTATAATAAAATTATATGCATAATAATTAATAATTAAAATAATTATATGCATCTGCATAACTTAACTTTTTCAGACACAGTACCATTTATATAAATTATTTTCTTTTTTCCAATTAGTTATTGGTATTTTTATATAATTATATATAACTTTAACGCATATAATTATAGTAACGTATATAACGTAAACAATATTATTTCATTTTAATATAGCAAATTAAGAATTAAGTACTTGTGCGTTATCGTGCCTACCGCGCGACACATATGCATTATCGCGACTACCTCATATTATGGATATAGCACGCTGTTTTATACGCGATTCTATTTCTAATTCTATTTTATCCAGTGTCGTTACAATCGTGCTTATCGCAATTTTATAGACTGGCTGGGTAACTTTTAGGACTTTTGTAGACATTTAGTCACAACCACGTTGTAGTAGTAATAACTTGTTGTACAGTTACGATTATTTGGCAATGGATCTGTGCAGGAGCGGACCCAGAGTCGGGGAACTGTGGGTCAAGCCATTTCAAGAGGCCATTTATTAGGGATAAAACTGAATTAAAAATGAATTACTTGTAAAAACAAACACAATATATTCATAAAAGTGTATAACTATATTTATATTATATTTTAGAATTAATGATACCACTGATAATGACTTATTTACGATTAATAAATATTATCCAATTTTATCAGAGCAACAAACGTACGAAATAAAATATGATTTACTTAACTTTCTATTAAAACAATATAATTTAAAATATAAATTATGAATTGAAAAATTTTAAATTTTGAATATATATGACATTCATTTTTCAAGTAACTCCGATAGGCCAACTGTCCAAGAGTCCAAATCAAGATCTAAAAAGAGAAAAAATTTCCAAGAGGCCAATTTTTTCAACAAATATTAACTGTGGGTCAGCTGACTCCCTGAACCCCCCCCCCTAGATCCGCCCCTGGATCTGTGGAACTTATCAACTACATTGACTTTTAGCTTTGGGTAGTTTTGTATTATAATAAACCTATTAAAAATATGTTGCGTACATTAATGCGTTTGAAATCAAGGTAGGCACGATAACGCACAAGTACCAAGAATTATTATAAAATTTATTTTGTATGATATAGACCGGGATAACGAGCCCTCCCGGAGTCTCGGATTCGAGGCTTCTTCCCTAACCTTTGAACATGACATTGTTTACATAATAAATGTATTTACTAACCGCTACCCTATTTTGGAAATCCTTAACTGTTTAAAGACTAAATTTACAGTTCCAAAAAGCTTTAATAAATTACTATAAAATTGACCACAATGTGCATTGTATGCATTTAAAAATAATAGAGCAATAATAAAACAAATAAAAAAACAATTCACAATCATTGCCGCAAATTCTATTTCTGGATTTAGGGTCTAGTTGGGTAATTGTAAATTAGGCTGATAACATAATAAAACACTGATAAACCCATAGATCTTATACCACAAAATAGATTAAATGCTATTCTGTGCTTATACCATAGAGTAAGAATATACCATGATTAAAGATATAATTATTATAATTTTAATTATATCTATAATCGTGGCTTATACTAAAAGCGCGCGAGATAAGACAGTGATAAGATATGTTCGATTTATGAGCGATCTGATTGGTTGATGAATTTTGCTCCGGATTCTCTCGTGCCTTTTATCAATTACTATTGGATTATTTCTAATGTAACCATCGTCCACTATGGATGAAAATTGAAATTCGAGAATCGAAATTAACGAACGTAAGTAACCGCATTATAGAGATAACGCTGTGGATGTAAATTGAAAGTCAAGAATCGAATTTAACTAACGTAAGTATCCACATTATATCCGAGTTTAGTTTCAGTTTCCTTATTTTTAATTATTGAACGCTTTATTGTTGGATTAACGTCAATAAACGTGATCAATTGTAATTCGAATTGTTACACCACAATGATTCAAACTTGATCTACCTTAGTTGTACATCGTTCAAATACAAAACGATATTAAAATATAATTTCAGATTATCGTATTTCGTATAATTGTTTTTTACGTTATTGGTAGTAATGGCAAATCCCGATAACAATAATGCATCTGACGAAGAGAAAATCGATCCCATGAAAGACGTGCGTGCTGGAATAGTACGTGAAGTGGGAAGTCAAGCAATATGGAGTCTTTCTTCGTGCAAACCAGGTAAGGTTTGTTTTTATCCATTCTATAAATCTAGGTACCTAATCAACTTATGAACAATAGTCCAATCAGCCTTATTCAAAATGTATAAATTTAATCGCCTAAAAATTAAACTTAATAGCACACTATACCAATCTTATTTTCATTTTCTATTTAATTAATATATTTATTAAATAGATTTTATATCAATCTTCATGAAAAACAAAATTTTAAAAAAGAAAATTAAGCCTAACCATTTTATATATTGGATTCATTATAATTTTTTATAACCTTCCATTTTATCAATTTTTTTTTTTTTTATATTATCGGTTTTAAATAATCATCATGTAAACTGTAAATAAAATTATTATTTGTGCTCAGCCATTGAACTATAAACATCATAATTAGTTGTAGAAAAACATTTAAATTTTAAAAACATTCAAAAATCTTAGCTGAAAGTTAAAACTTTCAGGATGCTAAAGTCTCCCGTACATCCTCCTACCCTCTAGTTTTGGGTATTATAAAATTAACCTATGCTTAATTTAATTCTGATATTATAATTTTTAAGTAATTAATCTTTTATCATATTTAAATGGAAAAAACTTTCTTTTTAGGTTAATAGACTTTATACAATACTTCACTTCAATCATTATTTATTTTAGGTTTTGGTGTTGACCAGATAAGAGATGACTGTATGGAAACTTACTGGCAATCAGATGGTCAACTTCCACATTTAGTTAATATTCAATTTAGACGTAAGACAGTGGTACGTGATATATGCATATACATTGATTATAGACTTGATGAAAGTTATACACCTGGCCGCATATCAGTGCGAGCTGGCACAAATTTTAATGACTTACAAGAAGTTGAGGTAGTAGAACTCAATGAACCGTATGGTTGGGTAAGAATAATGACTAAAGATATCAACGATTCAATGTTGAAAACTTATATGCTACAAATTGCTGTTATTACCAATCATCAAAATGGAAGAGATACACATATGAGACAAATCAAAGTGCACTCGCCTGTTGAAAAGAAAGATCCTCTTATTGGCAATTTTAGTACTATAGAAATGAGACAATATACAATTATTAAATAAACTATTTAATTTTATTATTTTTTTTATAACATTATAAAAGCAATTTTATCATAATAATAGTTTATAATAATAAATTTCTCTTTGACATCAAATATTTATGTAACTCAATTATAATATTCAGAATCTCTAATTCTCTAAAAAATCTTTTAAAGAAAAAAATGTTTTGACCTACTATTATTTATAATAAATTATGATGTATAAATGACATATGCCTTTGAATTTAATTTTATTGAGAATAAATTATATTTTTATTTTATGGATTCTTATATAAGATCTATTATTATATGGCAAAAAAAATTTTACTCAATTTATAGTAATATTTATAAAGTACGTTTTAAAATGAATATACTCATAAATATGTTTTGTTTTAGGTAATATACCGTTATTAAATTAAATAACTTAAAACGGACTTAAGTATCATATTAAAACATTTTTTTTGTGTTCTGTATAAAATTTCTAATGGCTTATTTGTATGTATACTGAACTGAACTTTTATCTTATTTTTTGTTGATGACCAAAATTGATGTTTGTCTCTCATTAAATGAAACATTTTATTTTTTTAGTCTAGTTAATTAACTTTTTATATCTTTTCATTTTAATGAAATTAATTTAATATACTTTTAATTTGTATTTGTTGCCTTAATTAAATGTAAATATTATCGTCTTGACAAATGTATTTTAAAAAATGTGAAGTGCATAATTATCAAGATAAATTATTTTATTCTGTAAAAATTTCTTGTTACAATAAACCGTAATAAAAATATCACCAAAATATATTTTATTTTTAAAAATGTTAAACAGTAAGATATATTTCATTGTCATGGAGAGGAACAAAAAAAGTGAAGAATTTCAAGTACATTTTTTTACCTGTTTGCAAGGGCGCCCATATGGGAGGCAAGGGAGGGACATGTCCCCCCTGGAAAATGTTAAAAATCTTGGAAAATTGTTTGCTATGTTCAGAATATATTTATTTAAAAATTTAATTTAATATATGAAAATTTATAATTTATTTATGAAAAATCTATTTATTTAATTTGGAAAATCAGGTTATCAACTATAAATAACAATACGCTTTTTCGTTTATATTCTATGGATAATTATCAATTCTTAAAATATTGTGTATTTCCTGAAATATGGTTTGTATATATGTGTGTGTACACCACCATAATATTTATAAATTAATATTTTAATAAATATAACTAATGTTTTAAGTGTCCAATTTATATTATTAATTAAATAAAATTTGAATAAATTACTTTTATGGTAAATTGGTTAAATAATTATTAATTTATAATCTTCCAATTTGATATATATAATGTAATAGTATAATGTAAAATTGTAAACTCCTTCCTATATCATGGGTCATTCCTATTTATGAATAAATTAATAAATTAAAAATTCCCCTCCTTAAGAATTTTTCTATGGGCACCCTTGCCTGTTAGTACTATAATACAAACCCAAGACTGTCTTCCCTTCCTTTACAAAATTTGATCACCTATCTGACATATAATCTGGTGATTTTCAAGTTCATAAATTTGTCCGTCATTAGTGTCTAGTTATATAAATTTAATCATCCATCTCCCTAGTCGAAAAATGTTTATTGGATAGTTGGAAGTGATTTGCGACTTCTAAAAGTTAATTTGTGAAATATTATTGGTTTTGAAGGAATTCGTCAACTTTCAGGGGCTTATGAACATATTTTATATTGATTTTAACATAGTATAAAATATATAACTCGATCTTTTATCTGAATATAAAATACATAATTAATTTAATTAGTTGACTTGCATGTATGAGATCAAATTTTGAAATTCGTAATCTAAAATTTAAATGAAGCCGTGACATGGGCACCAGTGTCGGACTGAGTCGAAAAAGCTCAGGCTGTGATTTAGAAAAAAAAGCCCCAATAGGCTGTTTTGATAAGTAAAAAAAAAAAAAAAGGTGCATCACTCAAATTTCACTTATCATGTACATAATCATTTATTTTTCAATACAATTTTATATATAGCATATTTATGATATAGGCACAAATAACTAAATACGTACCTAACTAGAATTCCTTGATTCAACATATTTATTGGTTTTATTATATTTTCAAAAGACTTGAAGGTATTTTACGAAAATTGATGGTCAGCACAACTAAAAAGGTTGGGAGCCCCTGTGTTACATTGATTCAGCCAGTAATTGGTTGGTATAGTAAACTCACTAACTTGGTATAACTTTTAAACATCTTTGTGTAATGATAGCAAATTTTTTTTAAATAAAATAATCATAATTAACCTCTTTAAAGTAAACATTGAGTCCAGTAGTACTGTATTGTCTTATTTTTGTTTAGTTATACCTCATATTAAATTAAACTATTTTGTAATTTGCCAATCAAAAGTGTAAAAATTAAATATAATTAATCTCAGTTGAACTTATAAACTTATACATTTTAAACATAACTCAGTCCAAGAAAAATAAGAATTTAAAGTTCTTACCTTATTAAACTATCATTAAAAGATATAATTAGATATATAAAAAAAAAAAATTAATTAATGCATAGAGTTATTAAGTAAAATTCTGAGAGAAAGTGAAGTACAAATTTTAAAAATTATGGTTTTTTACTATTATTTTAATTATTTCATTTTTAAAAGCATATTAATTAAAATTACTACAATAAATGAAATATTTCAATAGAATAAATCAAAATCTACCAAGTATACTTTTTATTACTTAATTTTAAATCAATGATCTAATAAGTAATAAATAAATTATAGAACACATGACTAATAAAATTATTATTTTTTTCTAAGATAATATTAAACAAAAAAATGGAACCATATTATCTTATAATATATATACATTATGATTTATTTATATTAATTATTTGATCTAAATTATTCAATTAAATATAAATAATATAATTCATAAAACATTGATAAATGTCAATGAATTTAAAAACTTGTCCTATTGTACATGGTTAATTCATCATTCATCATATTCTACTTTAAAACACTTAATTATTATTCAAACAAACGTATAATAAGATTAACAATATATAATAATCAACATAATTAATGATATTGGAAAGTGATTACAGAGATATTTAGAAAGAAAATCAAAACATATAAATAAAATCTTAAATTACAATGCTTATATTAAACTATTTAAAAGTGCACATGTTGTATTCTGGTACCAATATGAGTATCAGTTAATCCAGGTACAATAGGAGTAATTATAACATGGAACTTTAATGATTCATAGATAATGTATGAAACATTTGTGTCATTTATGTTAGTTTTTGGTCGATTAATTGCATCATAAACCATAAAATCATCAATGGTTATTTTAACTTGTTCGTTGTTAAACAACACAACTTTCTGTACAACTGACACAACATGAGTAATTTTATTCTGGAGAGCATACACTAGAATAGCAACACGAACTAAATATGAAAATGTTCTCATTTTTTCATCTTTTTTTAATTTCAGCTCAATTGTTGCACGCACCATTTTGACTATCATCTCTGGTAATACAAGAGAATCACTCCAAGAAATCCATAATGCTTTACCAAACCATAATCCTTTCAAGAACAATTCTACATTCTATTTAACACAAAAGATTTTAAGTTGAAATTAATAAATTGTATTCAATTTTACTTACCCAATGTGTCCTATCAGGTTTTTCTTGGTCTCGTTCAAACAAATCGCTGTTAGTAGTAATTTCTTTTTTAACTGATAGAAAGTCTTTAATTGATTTTTGACATATACTAAATTCGTCTCCCCACCGGGGACAAGTGTACAATCTTGGAGTACATTCTAATAAATTTTTAGCATTTGATTGTTTTTCTTCTAGAAAGAAAGAAATTAAAAGATAATAATACAATATATAAAAGTTAATAATATAATGTCAAATACCATACCTTTTTTTATCATATTATATTCCATTGCTGCAGCCATTTTTTCAACAAAAAAATTCATATTCTGTTTAAGAACAGGTTCTACTAACAATTGAGCTATTATTCGAGGAGGGATCATTGGATATCTAATATAAGACATAACATGTTCTGTTAAGGATATCCTGTACTCTTCTACTGTATCAGAATCGTTACACTCAGTCAATTTTTTTGCAGTCTGGTAATTTAACCAAGAAACTACATATCTATAAATAAAATATTATTTAAGTTTTATAAATCTATATTGAACATTAATTAAGATATTTACTTAAATAATTGTATTTCATCAAGCACAACGAGATCAGACTGTTTTAATAGTCCAACAAGAACATCACATTGAAATGTATTGAAACAATCTACACATGTGTCAATATTCCATTTTATAAAATTTCTGCAAGCCTATAATAATAAAATAATCATTAAAAGTGCTATATAAATTAGTATACATTAATGATTTATAAATATAATTAATATTAAAAGCTACAACAGTATACCTATAAGTTTACTAACACTCAGGGCCGGCTCGAGGAATAGGCGAACTAGGAGCTAGGCACCTGCCTAGAGCTGCACTTTAGTAGGGGTGGCATTTTCAAAATTGACTTGACAATTTTTTTAGTTCTATTGGTGTTTTATAAAAAAAATATTTAAATGAATTTATTCGTGAAAATCACTTACCTATATAATAAAATAATATTGTCTAATGTTATTATATTACTTTATATTACGGCCTACACTGGGCGTTTTCAATTATTCAAAAAATATAAATAACCACATATCCGATAGTCGCGGTAGTGAAAAGTTTTGAGTAATAGTAATAGAAATCATTTTTAAGTCTTTTTACATATAATTTTATTCATAAAATAAAAAATTTAAAAAAATGTTAAGTAGATATGTCACATAAAAAATAGGGGGAGAGGATAAGTTAAAATAAGAGCTTAATTTTTTTTTTTAGAAATGGCAAAATTTCATTTTGCCTAGTGTACTATTTTTGCTTGGACCGGCCCTGCTAACACTTGACATCTCTGTATTAAATTAACAAAATTAAATTTGTTTATTATGAGAGATATTTGATTATGAGAATTAAATTTCAATAGTATGAAATATTATCAACATTGCATCAATATAATTTAAAATTTTTTTAAAAAAAAACTAGATTCATAAAATTTGTAAATACCATATAGTTAATATTTCTTAAATTATTTAATTAAAAAAAAAAAAAATATTTTATTTTGACCAAAATGTTATGATTTTTCAATAACTTAAACTTTTTTTTTTTTTTTAATAGCCTTTTTTGTTATTCAATAAATATTTATATTTAATAGAGAATTCACTATAATTGATGGAATAGGTGTAGATTAGGGAACATACTTCCAAGTAAGGAATAGTGTAATATAAGTAATATAAAATAAAAGATGGTTTAACTAAACTAATGACTCTATGAGAATTTTGCTATCTGGCTAACCTAACCATTTACACCTAATATTGAAAGACGTGCAGTTAGATTCTACTTAAATTGCAAGGGTAGGAGCAGACTTTAAGTAACCCATTATATTTCTTAAAATAAATAAATAATATTCTTACTTTAAATAATTTATTCCATAGTGGCTTGACTTTTATACATTCAGTATCTTGCCAAATTTTACAAAAATATGCGGCCTGTAACAATTAAACAATTATGACCATTTTTTTTAGTTAAATTAATACAAAGCTAGAAAATATAAATTATAATAAATCGTGATATTGGAAAAAATTAAATGATGTTTTGTTTTAGTATGTATCATTAAAGAAATATTAAATAATTTTATAACAAAAAATAAAATTGCTTTTATTTTGAGCTAACTTAAAATAATATAATACACTAAAATATTATTTTCTTCAATGAACCAACTGTCAAACTTCCTTGAACACTAAAAACTATTTACATTAGTTTACACTGTATCAAATGTAGTGGAAATTACACTCTTTTCAACAACTGTAAAATAAGCCTTCAGTTCAAGTTTTTCTACAGCTTAATATAAAATATATCCAGTTCACGAACTAGAATTATTTTAGTTTTTAGTTCAACCCAAAGCTTGTCTCCGTTATTTATAGGAAAAAAACTAAAAAACCTAAACTAAAAAATTTTTTTGGTAAAAGCTGTTAAAATAAAAAATTTAAAACAATGAATATATTAATTCATTACATTAAAATTGTGAATAAATATGTATTCAAACATAAATTAATACAAAATTACATACATTTAATTTAATTTAATATTAAATATTACATATTATTTTATTTAACCTTATATTGATTCATGCCCAACAAAATAATTTATGCTAACCTCTTATATATTTTTTTTTTGGAATTTGGAAGTATTGAACTACTAACATTGAAATTGAATTTATTGGAATATTTAATATATTCTAACTTTATTATTGTGAGGTGTCAAAATTATTGTATTACTATTATTATTATACGAAAAGTAGTCACAAGAACCCATTACAATGCTAAATATTAAATTTTGCACCAACCAATTTTTATTTTATCACTAAGCAAGAACCCTATTATGCAATTCTATCTTCATAATATACATTCGTGAAATCATGAATTAAGATAGAACAACTCTGAACTATGACATTTCTAATTTGATAACCAAATAACCTGGTTTGTGATTTATTTTTGATATTGTTTATTCTTTTATCTTATGATTTATTTTTAATTTTGATTTGAGATTATTTTCTTTTTTTTTTACGTGAAAATGTACATTATATATTAAGTATAGTTTTTTCAAGGACTTATTTATAAGTAACAAGCATATGATAGATGAAAATAATTCATTGGGTGGTAACTGATAATCTTATTTGATACCTTATTTGCTAATATCAATATTTGAATCATAATTTATTTTATTCATATTTATTTTGAAATTATATGCAGGTTTTTCTTAATTAAATCTTTTTATTTTTAATTTAATACACTTTTTTTACAAACTTAGACAAATACCTCAATGTTTTATGTTTTCCATATTATTTTATTCTTTATATTTTAAAGAAAAATCCTGTAAGCTTCAACCAAGTGACTTAGCCACAAATTGGAAAATCTAAGACTTCATAATATTATATTTAATATTTACATAATAATTTCAATCAAGGAAAATTATACTTACATTAACCATCATCGGTTGATTTATTGACAGTACATATTGAAACCAAGTTACTAATTGACCCTGATTAGCAGCATCAGCTATATGCTCACACATGTATTCAACACAGAGTACGGTAAGATCCTAGAATAAATATATAAGACAAATTATTGTTTTTATATTTAATACATTTTATGAAATATTATTTACCTTGACATTATATTTATCAGCTAACACCAACATTGGCATAATATTATTATGTTCAAGTGTTATTTCACCTGTATAAAAATATTGAAGAAAAAGTGGAAATACTTCAATACATAGTGGAACTTCTTGTAATTCAATGACATTTTGGTGTGAATCACTCCTTTTAGAATTCATCAACATGGACTATAAATAAATTAAATTATTTAATTAAATTAAATTATTTAAAAAAAAAAAATCTATTAAAATCACCTCAAATACATCGCTAGATATACACAACATAAAGCGATGTGCAGGATATGACACTCCTCCCACCACAAGAGTAATATCAGTTAATAGTCTGTTGACATACACATTTTGGATTTTTTTCAGAAGAGCATTAGAATTGTCATTCTAAACATTATCAAAATATACACTTTTTTTTTTTTCTTAAGAATATGAAGATAACTTACAACATTAGGCATAGCATATGAATGATCCATTTCATACTCAGTTGACATTCTTCGACGCTTCATTCCCAAAGACTTACTAAAATAAATATGCAAAATATGCAATATTTTATAATAGGATTAATAAATATAAAAGAAATTAATACATAATAATTTTTCAATCAAAAATGAGAAATTGTAATCTACAAATTATACAGAAATAAACAAATAAATACAGGAATACACCACTGATTGTGCGTATGCCCTGGATATAAATGATAAAGATTTATTAATATTTTAAGCGGTAAATTTAAATTTTAAGCAATTTGATATCAAACAGGTTACTTTTAAGTTATTACCTACAAAAATGCCATGACTATTAAACAAAATGAAATATAGTCAGGCCCGTATTTACAAAAAATTGTCCTCAATAAATTTACACATAAACAATATTTGTTGAAGGGTTTTTGATGGTAGCAGCATCGTTGATGTATCCACATAGCCGAGTTCGATCCCCGCATAGGTTAAATAAAATTTTTCACTTTTTTTTTTGAACGATAGTTTTGTATTTGATTTGATCTCTTATCGTCATGAATATTGTTTGCATTTTTTTTTTTTCAAAAAATTGGAACTTTAATTTTAAAAATTTTAGGACTTCGCTCGTTACGCCTGCCGGCTCCACTCACAAACTCGAGTGCCACTGCACGGCACTGTTCGGGGGGGATGGGGCTTCGCCCAAAGAGGACTTTTAATCTAAATCTAACCTAGTTTTTGTAGAAACCTTGATACTGTTGTAAATGGGATTATGCTCTGCATGTGAACCTAAAACCTCACTCCGCGAGTAAAACTCTGAATCGTCATTTGTACTTTTTTTGTATTTTTTCTTGCGCATCGAATATCTAGTGCTGTGAAACGGACTATAGGTACTGATATAACCTCATAAAATAATTGTTATACCGATTACAAAAAAAAAGTGGAAAAAAATGCAATAAATAATATTTCCCCCACCACGGTATTATTGAACTCACCATATCCCTCACTTTAATGGTGGTCTCGCGTTACCAATTGCACCATGACATCACAGAAGTAAAATTGGAAAAAATAGATTATTTAATCAAAACTATCAAACTTCAATAGGCTGTTACTTCCAAAACACCTAATCGTTTGCGCCAATTTTCGTTTGCACTATCGTTTTCAGCGTTAAAAAATATATAAGTTGACGTAAGAAAAAATGTTGGGTGTCCCGTAAAGTAGAAATATACCTTTTATTTATTTTATAAAATGGCTTTTTCATGTGAACTATGTAACAAAATATTCACTATAAAGACATAAAAAAAATATTCATATGCAAATGAATATTCGGAATTCGCATACTTTAGGTTTGAGATTTTATATCCATACTTCATAGATTTAACGAAACAATTTTTTTTTTTTTACAAATTTATAGGTAGTTCAACAAAAAGTATAAGATATACCTTATGACAACCAAAATTTTAAATTTTATATCATTTAATGAATTAATTAATGCATCGATGGCTATATTAGTATTGCTCCCAATGTATTATTGTATCTTTCAGGTACGGTGCCAAGGGGGGGGGGGGGCTCAAACCCCTCCAAAAAAGTGCTCCCCCCCCCCTTGCCCCCCAGTGGCGCATCCAGTTTTTTTTTGGTGGGGGAGGGGTCGAAAGTGGCTATAGCTATATTCAAAGGCATATTTACGGGAGGGACCGAATGGGCACTGGCCCCCTGGCGGAATGTGCCTCCAACAAAATCATGCCAGGTAGTGATGATCAAAATTAGTCTTGGTCTTGAGGTCTCGCAAGACTCTTACTGCAAGACCAAGACCAAGATTAGGCTTGCAAGAACAAGAACAAACCAATACCGAAACTGCAAGACCGAGATCAAAACAAGACCATCACTGCAAGACTCCTGCAAATTTTTTTTTCCTCCGAAAACACATTAGTTATCTAGATTTCATTAACTAATAATTTATAATGAAAATAATAAAAATTATGTTTATTGTTATTAAATTTGATCAGTATTCGAGGAAATGACGCATTATTGAATAAATGATTAGAAATAAATGAAATTAACATTACAAAATAACATAATATAGTTGTTTCATACTTAGCAATTACTGAAAAATTATTTTTTTCCCCTAAAATCGATAAAAACGTCGAAAGTTGTCTTGCTCATAGAATAATTTATGACTTACATCCATAAAACATCTCTACTTTGAATCGAATATACCTACTAATAATTTCTGGAAGTCATTACGGACTACGGTAGATATAATTTTGATTGGAAGTACGTTTTTATTTTCGTTCGTAGTTTGTATGATTTTTTTATACTAGACATTGTGTATTTAAACTAGTGTCTTATACTGCATATTATTTCATTACTGTCTTAAACTTGTAGTCTGTTGGTAATACGCCTTGTTAGTTGTTGTTACTGTACCTTTAAAATGAGTGACATTAAAAACACACAATGTGAGAGTGTGAATGAATTATAAGATGTAATAGGAACTTACAAAGTTAATTATACTGGTAAATTGATTCATCAAATACAAATACAAGTAAAATAATATAAACATAATATTTTATAATGCAAAGTTTTAAACGAGTAGGTACCTACGATAAAAATTAAATTGTTTGATTGTTTTATATTATTGTTTTAGGTATTAATATACTATGTAATATATTGGACTTAAGTTTCATCTTAGAAGTCATAGCAAAAAACCTACACAGCTATAATAATTTAGTTTTATTTTTTTTTATATTTTGTGAAAATAGCAAGAGTCTTGGTCTTGTTTTGATCATTAATAATGCCAGGATAAAAAAAAGTCATGCGATCTGTATTCATTACCAATCGACAGTTTCAGTAGAGTACAGTAGTCCAATGTTCATTTTATATTTTAAATGTATTTTTATTATTCTTGTCTAAAAAAAAGTTTCATCATGATTTAAAAATTTGTTAAGCTCTCTCGGTCACCAAATTTAGCTATACCACTAACCACATCTTTGGCTATATTATGTTAACTTAAATATAATTAATATTTCAAAAGATATATATATATATATATATATATATATATATATATATATATATATA